TCTACTAAATTTAAAATGATCTGAAATTTAGAATGTGTATTCATAAAAAATAGGGGAATCTTCGAAAAATATAAACAAAATATTTTACATATTGACCAAAATACCCTCGAAAGGTTTCGGGGGTATTTTAGTCAATTTTATTTTCGCGGATAATTTTTTTTATTTTTTATTAGATGCGTCTTAGTAAGATGTACGTACTCTCCAAATTTCAGGTCATTCCAATTTGTAGAAAACAAATGAAAAATAAAACACTACCGGACAATCGTTACCGTACAATGAAGTTTGGATGGTGATGATGGTAGACGAAATCACTATTCATTTTCGCCTATAGGTGTTGGGAAGAATTTTCCATATATACATATATATATTATTGTTACTTTAGAATTGTGGTGTGTCATGTTTGGTACTGACACTTCTTATCTTCTATGATATCATGAGTTGAATAATTTATACTGATACTTCTTATCTTCTATGATATCATAAATGGAACAAGTATGAATTTTTTTGCTAGTCTTTGAAAGTATCTATCATCATAGTTATAGGAATGTATGTATGTATGTACGTATGTATATGCATGTGCATGTGCATGTATAGCCATGTAGCCAAATCGTCCTTTTTGGGGCACAAAGAATCCAATAATCAGTACCGGTGTCCTACACAGACGCGTACCTGTATCTATGCAACATAGGTTCTAGCTCACTAGATCATGGCATTGGAGATGCTGAGCTTTGCTTAAATATATGGTGCTTACCATATTCCTTGCTTTTGGTTAGAGGTTTCAAGGTCGCACATATGGCATTCTAGGTACTTCTGAGTTGGATTTTGACTCAGAACCAGATTCGGCTCGCTCTGTGCGGCAACACGAGGACTTCAATTTCAGTGAGGTATTTGTGCATCAGATGATACATTCCATTGAGTTTGTGCTAGGCTCTGTCTCAAACACTGCATCATATCTTCGGCTCTGGGCTTTGAGGTAAATAACTGGTTACTTTTATCTAATTTTAGTGCATGTCTTCTGTAAACCCTAGGGACTGATATGAGACTTTTTTTCTACAGCTTGGCTCACTCGGAGTTGTCAACGGTTTTCTATGAGAAAGTCTTGGTTCTTTCTTGGGGGTAGGTTCAAAATTTAAACTTCACATTTTTTCTATCTCTTTTAGCTCCTCCTTGTTCGTCATTGGTCATGCTAAACCTACAGTTAACAATATCAGCTTTCTCATGTTAGATGCAAGATGCAGCTTGTTAAGAGTTTGTAGCTCTGGCCTACATCCCTTAGGATTTGTACTTAGTACATTTTTTGAGTAGAATAAAAGGTACTGTTAGAGATACCAAATAAAAAAAAGAAAACAGTGAATATGGTTTTTAGGTATCGTCATGATTCAGATATACATCTCTCTCTCTCTCTCTCTCTCTCTCTCTCTATGCATGTTTTGCCAAATTTTGACAGATGCCACGGTATACTAAGAGTAATGATCCTATGAGACCCTCCTACACCCATGTGTGTAGGACCCCAATGGATCATCATTAAATTTGACATAGATCTCTAGAAAAGTCAAGTCCCACACCCATGTGAAAACGTTTTTAGAGATCTGTGCCAATTTGATGGTGATCTTTTGAGGTCTTACACACATGGGTGTGGGAGGGTCTCATAGGATCATTACTCGTATACTAATCCCTTCAATTAACTTATGCTATCAGAGAAAATTGGACGGTGGAGATCCTGACAAGAACTCTTTTTATTAATTCTCAGGTTTGACAGCATTGTAATTCGCATAATCGGACTTGGGGTATTTGCCTTTGCCACTGCCTTTATATTACTCATGATGGAGTCCCTCAGCGCGTTTCTCCATGCCCTGAGGCTCCATTGGGTTGAGTTTCAAAACAAATTTTACCAAGGGGATGGCCATAAATTCAAGCCATTTTCTTTTGCCGCATTGGCCAATGAAGAAGATTGAGATGTCGTCCCACAGAAGATGATTGAGATGTCATCCCACAGCTAACATGCCATTTTGTTCATCAACTATATCGGCAAGTTCAAATATTTGAAAGCCCCGCACAATTCTTTTGAGCGGTTGATGAGATATATATGTATGCATATACAAAATGAGCTCCTGTGTATTTCTAGGCCATGTAATCACCTTGTAAGAGTAGTAGCAGCAGGGGAATTCAATGTTCACAACTTCCAGAGAAGCATATTTTTACACACCTTGTGTGTGGATTTTGCAATGATGTAGCCATATTGTGGACAGAACTTTGACTTGAAATTTTGGGTTAATACAAAAGTTGGAAAGTGCAGAATGCGTTCAAAATAGTCACATGAGGAAAAGAAAGAAAGGCCCACCTTATTGTATCAAGTTTTACACCCATGACTTTAGAATAAAACAGAAAATTCAATTTTGGCCCTTCTATGAGGCTAGTTCTATCTGAACCATTTAAAAAAAAGGTGCATGCGGACGCAATGCCAACTTTTTTCGGTAGGTATGCCAACTTGGGCATGATTACCAGTTTACGTTCTTCAATTTTTTCGGAAGGACTTTTTTCGCACAAAAATGTGAAAACCGTGCAAGTTTATCTCAGGCACATGTAAAATGCTTATTTTCCAAAGAGATTGAATGGTGTCTAATATTTGGACAGTCAAATCTAAGCATTTTAAACTCAAATTCCGATTTCATTTTTTTTTAAATCGTCATTTGAGTTTTATCCCAACTATTTAAGGTCGGTTGTACGAATCTTGGTATGCTATTCCACACTATCAAGAGTCATATCTTTAGTATAAGTTATCATATTTTTTCTCACAACATCTATTCACGTTGTTTTGGGACTTCTTTTTGTTTTCTTAAAGCCTTCCAGTTAAACTAAATCATCCACATCTTAACTGGTGTTATTCTAGATTGATGGTGCACATGGTCATACTTCTTAAGTTTATTTTTTTTCATCTCATTGCCTATTGGAGCTGCACTTAAGTTCCTTCGCATATGTTTATTCCAAATTACCATCTTTTGTTGTCGTGCCACTCATATATCTCAACATCCTCATCTCAGCTATAGACGTTCTATAGATATGGTATTTTTTGACCACCCAACATTTAGTCCCATAAAACATGGCTGGTCTTACAACTGTCTTATAAAACTTGCTCTTCAGTTTCACAAATATATGACAATCACATAAGACCATAAGTCTTTCTCCATTTCCTCTACCCAACTCTAATTGTATGTATGACATCTTCATATTTCTCTCCATTCTCATGGATTATCGACCATGATATCAAAAATAATCTTTTTTCCGTACTTCTTGTCCACAAATATTAACAATTCCTTGTTTATACTCCTATCATTACTAAACTTGCATTTCATGTATTTTATGTTAGTCTGACTATTTTAAAACCATTAAATTATAGAGCATCATTCTAAAGTTCTACGATTGGGTTGACGTTCTCTCTAGTTTTATCAATCAAAGCTACGTCATTTGCAAATAACATACACCAAGTACCTCATCCTATTGATGCCTAGTAAGCTTGTCCATAACCAAAGCAAAGAGAGATTGGCTCAATGCTAACCCTTGGTGTAGGTCTATTTTCATTGAAAACTCATATGTCTCTCCGCTCGTTATCCTAATACTATTTAATCCTACATTGTATATGTTCCTTACCATGTCAATAATCCTCTAGAGACACTTTTATTTTTCAACACCAACCAAATTAACTCTCTAGATGCCTTATTGTATGCTTTCTCTAAATCAATAAACATCATGTTGAGGTCATTTCTATTCTACCTGAACTTCTCAATCAATTACTTAAATAAGAAAATAACCTCAATGGTTGACCTCCCTGACATAAAATTGAACTGATTTTCTGATGCACTCATTTTATGTCATAGTCGTTACTCAATCACTATCTCCCACCACTTCATAATGTAGCTCATAAGTTTGATCCCTTGTCTTATTGTTTATGTAAATGGGTATCACAATATTTTTCTCTATTTGTCTGGCATTTTATTTGTTTTGAAAATTTTGTTGAACAACTTGGTCAACCATAATATGTCAATCTCTCCATGCATTTCCAAGCCTCTATTGTTATACTATTTTGTTCTGAACTTGTTGCTATCTTCATCTTTCTCAAAGCTTATTTTCACTTCAAATATCTTAATCATACAAAGCGTCAATGACCTTAGACCAAATTTATATCAAAGATTCCTTCAAACCTGTGCTCCCTGAGTGGCATAGATTTTGAGAAAATACTCATCTCATAATTCTAAAGTTGACCAAAAAATTTTAGATTGAGAAAATACCATTGAGTGTGTCTTTTACTCAATTGAATAAGTGTACAATTTGATGGTCCCATGGGAGTATGCTATACGTTCCATGGATGAAATGGATGGTTCCCTAAGATCCCCCCATACCATGAGTCCAGAATGCTGGCATGTTTCATGATAGGAAGAAAAAGCTCAAAAAAGGATTGTTAATTACTTATATCATAGTGAATATTTTTACTTCTTAGATGGTGAGATAATTCAATCTTGTTTAATTCTAAATTAGCTCTTTATAGTCTACACCCAATTTCTAAAAATTAGGATGATTTGACAAAACAAAAAAAACATTCATAATCACAAGCTCATATAGAAGTTTGAGGTGGCACTTGTTCATCTGCAATCTCCTCAATTACCAACTGCATTAGTTCCTAGTTTTACTACTAGTGCATCACGTGATTACAAATATAACAAAAGCAAATGAAGTATCCCATGGGATCTTTTCTTATACATTATAATTCATAGGTTTAAAAATTGTTGGGTGGATCACCCAGTTCATTCCATGATTGGTGGGATGTGATCTGGTTCAAGAGATCCTAAGAAACGCATAATTTCCGCAGTGTATATTATTCGTATATTTTAACTTCTTTGCTATCTGACCTAGTTAAATTGTTGTGCTAGATCATAATTGTTGATCTGATTTATAGTGGGGACTGGGCACCGAGTCCGAGGAAAATTCTAGTTTTTAAAACCATGTTGTAAATAAAGGTTGGGAGTGAATTGCCAATACTAGCTTGATAACTATTAACCATGAAAACGATCTTAAGCTGATTAGTCTCTTGTTACACAAAACCTATTCCCAAATGCTTCGTCTGTTAAACTATGACAAATGTACTCACACAGGGAGGGAGGAAATAACTCGAGGGCTACAACATGTTAAAGCATTTGGGATCACCTATAACAGTAGAGTTTTGAATTCTATCTCACTCAAATTCAGTTATAATGATAAATTATGATCGCTAACCCTTGAAGAGGCATACCACTACAAGTAGAATAAAGGGAAGTTTGTATGGGGGTGACCCAAGGCAAATGTTTTGTTTGGTAAGCATGAATCCTTAAGAATAAGGAAAATAGTTAGGTCTTCTAAGAGAACCCATGTCCATTCTATCCTTGGGAACTAGCTATAATTGGAAACCTCATTTGAAAAATTCCCTTTAGTAAATATTTTGAACTAATTTTACACTGGCAAGTTGGCATCCAAATTGGGATTGTGGATGTTATTGTCAAACATCGTTGACATGTGAAAAGAAGTATGAGCGCGAGCTTAATTGGTTAGCGCTTGACAATTTGCAACACTACGTCCTAAGCTCAATTTCCTACCAAAGGTGAGGGGCCCTCTCCCCACTAACTCACCAAAAAAAGAGTGAAAGGAAGTACATTAACAACTGAAGAATGGAGACCAAATCATATCATTGCCCTTTCATACTCCAAATGTGGTTTGACTAAGAGCGTGGGATATCCCTACGAATGCCTGGAATATTGGGGTGCTTCAAAATATAGATAATTGTTGTGGAAATTTTTTTCTATTTCAGGGGATGATTTAGTTTTTGTTAGATTTAAATTCAAACGATCATAGAATGAGATTATCCCCAAGTAGACGATTCTTAATGTAGGAGTTGAATGCTTTTAGGTTACAATTGCTAGTGATAATGAAAACGTTCTCCAGATTAGCAATGCAAAAGTGGTGAAGCATCTCAAGACTTTGCTGCTATCCCCCTTGGAATGAGGAAAGCTAGATGGTGGTTTTTAGCAAGAATAAAAATAAAAGTTCAAGTAGAGGCATGGGTGAAGAGAGGTTAGAGAGTAGAAAGCTTGAAAATCGTTAGCCAAGGCAACAAAAGGGAGTACAACCACATCACTTTCAAAAATCTCACTCAACATTTGGGGCCCTAATGAAAAAAAAGGAGTCATGGTTCCATATTAGAGAAGACAAGTCCTTCAAATTTTTTTTTAAATGGAAGCCTATGTGAAATTTAAATTCGAAGCCAGATTTGAGCATTTCAAATTCAAATTTAAATGGTGAAGTTTCAATTTCTGTGTTTACAGCTGATCAGGGACAAATCTAATGATAGATATGACTCTGATAACTTAATGAATTAAACAAAAGATGGAGTTCTATTAAATTCTAATCCAAAGATGATTCAATATTGAGAATGGGGTTGGGGTCGTGACATCTTGTGCCCCAGCTAAGGTTTAGGCTTCTATTTTCACCTAACGCATTAAAAAAAAACGACATACAATTTCAAAAAATAGGTAGGGGCTCGTCATCCGCACTGAATTACCCCCTCAAAAAAATATTTCAATATCACAAGGAGATCTAATCTTCTATGCAACATTGGTAATGCTGCAGGTAAATTGCATCGAAATCCAAGGAAAACAAAAAAATAAAACAAAGTAAAATACATAAATACACAAAATATGTGATAAACTAAATAATTTTTTTTTCTTCGTACAAACTGTTTGGCCCTAGCACCCAGAGTAGGAGTCTTGATCATATCAAGATGAATAAATCAATCCTCTTTATTCTTGAAAGAAGGATTTGATATAGAGCAAAGTTTCATATGAATCTAAGGTTTACGTAAGGGTGGCAATGGAACCGGAACCGGAACCAGAACTAGCCCGGGATACCTGAACGAGTCCGAGTATAGGTCCAACATTTGGACCTGGTGGGTCGGGTATGAGTCCAAAACCTGGACCCAAGCACTATTCGGGTCCGGGTTCGGGTTTGGGTTCAGTTGGACACGACCCATACCCAACCTGTACCCATAAACTGTTGGAGATAAAATACTTCAAGCCCTATTTGTTTAGGTGTATTAAGAATTGTATACAATAAGAATTCATAATTATCTTTAGCTATTAACAACAAGCAAGACGACTTGAAAACTAACAGTGGGTTGTGATCTTGTAGCCAATAATTTGGGTATATAATGGTAAAGAAAGTGCCAAAAAAAAAGAAAAAGCTCATAATGAGGATGACAATGAACTTGACTAGACCCGAGACTCGACGGGATAGACCCAGGACTTG